CCCCCCCGCCCCGCCCCTGCTCTCGCGCCGATGGTCGAAATGCCGTCCCGACGGCGGCCGGCCCCGCTGGCCGCCCTGCTGGCCGCCGGCGCCATGATGCTCAGCCTGCTGGCGGCCCCCCTTGCCGGGGCTGACACCGGGCCCGATGTCATCCTCCACGCCGGGCCCCACCAGGCCGTGATCCATGCCCAAGGCCCGGGCACCTTCTTCACCTCCCCCGGCAAGCCCTCGCTCACCAACATCCGCACCGGCCCGCGGGTCTTCGAGCAATTGGCCCAAGCCAACGCCATGGCCCTCAGCCCGGAGTACCGGTGGGGCGCCTTCTTCGAGCCCGGGTTCAGCTCGGTGTCCAGCCCGCGCCCCGACAATCCGGCCACCGCGGCCGTCATGCTCCTCCCGCCGGCGCCCGGCGCCCGGCCGACCCTGGTCGAGCATACCGACCAGTGGGTGGCCCTCTTCCAGGCGGCCAGCCAGCTGCCCCTGCCGGCCCCGGGCGCCGAGCTGCTGGCCGGCGTGGCGGTCGGCTTCGACCAGGCGGATGTCCTCGGCCTGCTCGGCCCGCCGGGCCCCGGGGCCCGCACGCCCTTCCTGGCCTCGCTGACGACCACCGCCCTGACCGAGGTGGCCACCGGCCTGCCGGGGCTGGCCCAGCCGGTCCTGGCCGTCCCCGGGGCCGGGCGCCAATTTTACCTCACCTCCCAGGACCAGCTGTACCGCATGGCCCTCGGCGCCGGCCACCAGGCGCCCGCCGTCACGCGGGAAACGCTCCCGGCCCCGGCCGTCGGCCTGGCCGCCACGCGGGTCCTCTCGTCGGCCGGGGCCTGCCCCGATGCCGCGGACCTTGTCCTGCTTCTGGACAATGGCCAGGTCCTGGTGCTGCCCTGCCAGGGCGGCTCCGGCGGCGTGGGCACCCCGGTGGCCGATGCCCTGCCCCCGGGCGCCCCTCCCGGCGGCCGGCTCCTCGCCGCCCCGGCCGCCTCCCTCGACAGCCCGCATGCCCAATTTTACTATGTCACCCCGGCCGGCCTGTGGCAGGTGGAGGTCCAGCCCGGCCGGCTCACCTGGCGCCGGGCGGTCCTCCCGCCGGCGGCCACCGCCGGGGCATTGCAACTGGCCCGGCTACGGGTTGACCCGGCCGACCCCCACCACCCGGGCCAGTGGCTGCTCGTCGCCGGCCAGGCGGTCCTCTTCGACTCGGCCTCCTTCAAGTGCCCCACCGACCGGAGCATCACCTGCGACAGCGACACCACGACCACCCACTCGCCCGGGGCCTGGGCCTGCGCCGCGGGCCGGGCCGCGGCGCCCCTCGTCTCGCCGGACTTCCTGTGCGCCGGCTGCGCCGATGGCTTCTACCTGGACCGCCCGGTCGGTATGTCCCCCCTCGCCCCGCCGCCGCCATGCCCGATCGGCTCCTCGAATGGCCACTCACCGCCGCCGCCGCCGCCGCCCCGGCAGATGAGCCGCCCTTTGCCAGCCCCTTCCACGTGTGCCGGCCATGCCCGCAGGCCCACTGCCTGACCTGCCACGCCGGCGGCTGCCTCGTCTGTGCCGACCCCTTCCTTCTGGAGTTCAGCGGCCCCGGCCCGTCGGCCGTGTGCGTGGCCGCCTGCTCGTCGGGCTTCGTCCCGGTGGCCGGGGCCTGCCTGCCGGACACCCTGCACCCGGCCCGGCCGGCATTGGGCATCCCCCGGCCGGAGCCGGTCCCCGGCCTGCCGGCCGGCGTCACCATCACCGGCTTCGGCATGACCCGGCTGTCCTTCGACCCGACCACCGGCCTGCCCATCATCCCGGCCCCCGACTACGCCCAGCCCCCGGCCAATGTCCTCCTCTTCACCAGCGACAAGAGGACCCTCCTCATGCCGGCGAGCGACGTCGGCCTGCCGGACAAGCCCCCGCCGGTGGAAGTCTCCCTCTTCAACCCCCTGCACCTGATCGACCCCATCGCCAGCTTCCTGGAGATGGGCCCCCTCCTGCACAATGGCAAGTTGATGATGGTGCACCTGGCCCGCCGGCAGGACACCTTCTCCTCCCTGTGGCTGAGCTGCCCGGCCCCCGGGCCATGCACAGCCACCGACCCCGGCCACATGCCCATCCTATCGACCCCGGCGGACGCGGCATTCACCCGGCTCACGGCCACCGCCTTCGTCACGCGCAGCCGGTCCTTTGCCACCGTCCACGAGCTGGACCTGCCAGGCACCATGCTCCAGAGTGACATGCTGCATGGCTTCCACATGGCGGCCCGGCTGCCGGCCGGGCCGGGCAGCGCCGCGCGTGCCAGCCCCAGCACCGGGGCCTGGCACGCGCTGCTCGACCAGGCCGGCCGATGGTCCCTCCGCCCGGTGGCCATGCTCCATGCCGATGCCCGGACGGCGGCCCTTCACGGGCGCCTCCTGCCCCAAAAAGCCCCCTTCCCCAATGCCGAGCCGGTGCACCTCCCCCGGCCCGGGGCCGAGCTCCACACGGAGCTCGTGCTCACCGGCATCGTGGACTCCCAGTGGCAGGTCCTCCGCCTGCCGGGGGACATGCTGCCGGCCGGGCGGTCCACCGACCTGCCCTTCGGCCGCCAGACCCTCGGGCCCCTGCCGCTCCCGCTGGGCCCCGGCGCCCTGAACCCCTACGACATGCGGTTCGAGGCCCTGCCCCTGCCGGACTCCCGGCCCGACTACCCGAGCGCCCTGGTGCTCCTGGCCCGGGGCTTCCTCGGGGTGGCCCCGCTGTGGTGCCCCTCGGCCCCGGGGCCCGGGCCCTGCACCCTGCTCCCGGCCACCTTCACCATCCTGCCGAGCCCGCTGCCCAGCACCATGGAGCTGTGGCAGCCGCTGGCCCGGCTGCCCGGGGCCCCCGGCCCGGGCCTCCGCCTGCTGACCTTTGCCCAGGCCACCGGCCTGGCGGTCCTGTCGCTGGAGCCCGCCTGCCCGGGGGGCAGCTTCAGCATGGGCTTCGCCTGCCAGGCCTGCCATGACACCTGCCTCGCGTGCACCGGGCCCGGCCCGGCCGAGTGCACCGGCTGTCGGTTCTGGCTGCCCGAGGCCCCGGAGGCCTGCCTGGCCGGCTGCCCGGCCGGCTGGCATGAAAGTGCCCCCGGCTCCGAGTGCCTGGCCTGTGACGCCTCCTGCCGGACTTGCGACCGGCCGGGCGCCTGCATCGACTGCCAGCCGGGCTGGCTGCGGGGCCCGACCGGCCTGTGCGTGGCCAGCTGCCCGGAGGGCTGGCTCGAGTGCGCCCCCTCCGGCATGTGCGCCCCCTGCCCGGACGCCTGCACCCGGTGCTCGGCCGCCGGCGGGCCGGCCTGCGCGGCCGTGTGCTCCGCCTGCCAGCCCGGCCTCCTCCTGTCGAAGGGGGCCTGCCTGGCGGCCTGCCCGGCCGGGCAGTTTGCCGCCTCGGCCGACACCTGCCACGACTGCCAGGCCGGC